CCTATCTCCTATTTCCATCCATATTATAATATTTTATCCTCGAATAACACGTTACTGAAACTTACTGGAAACTGGTGCGAATGACGATGGGTTGGCCGAAGAAGCTCGGGACCAGCTCGTCCATTAGGGAGTGCGTGTGGATGAAGTTGAGGGTGAGATCGGGCAGAGATCGGGAATCGTTGACGCACTGGCCGGGCCTTGGATCGGGCACCTTGGTGCTCTGCACCGGCAACCAATTCGAGTTGATCGCGCTCTGCTCCTTGAAATTGCCCTTGAACGTGTCGGTGATGTCCTGCAAGGAGAAGGCGCACACGGCCGAGCCGCTTATGCTGTTCACCGGGGTGGTGAACGTCCCGTATATCAACTGCGCCGACTTATTGCCGTACTGGCCCGATATCAATTCCGTCGTCGATTCTGAAAATAACGCGCTCCGTCATTTCCGAGCCTCTTTGTTCGCGCGACCTCGCCCGTATCCCGAGGACGTTTACGAGCGTGCCGGCGAGTACTTTGGAAAATTTATCCCTCCCAAATCATTTAAAATCAATGACGCTGCGATTTCCGTGATCGAAAAAATTAAATCTCGCCGAACATTCTTTCGGAATGGAAATTAAAAACCGTTGAACGATGATAAACTCCCGTGATACGTGGCGATCAATTTATGCTCGATCAATTTATTAGATATCAAAGAGAAAACGTTGAATCGGATTTTTTTTTAGAATTTTTTAGAATAGACTCGAAGATCGATCAAATTATATAGATACAGAGAGGATTTTACTTACGTATCTCATTGAAGTAGAAAGGAAAGTCTCCGGTAACGGAGCAATTAAGACGGGATTTTAGGAACGAGGTCCACCTATTGCGGTATCGATGCGGACCACCTCGATCGTATTTACAGACTCTCGCTACGCGAGAATAGACGGTCTGCAATGGAAAAAAAAGAAAAAGCTGGGATGAGCAGAGTATCCTCCTTGTCCCGCGATCGAACTTTCCCCCTCCCCCGATATTACGAACGAATTCTTTCGTTCCAAATTATACGACGCAAGAGAAGCTCGACGTTGCTATTATTGCAAGGATAAAATTTCGAAAATTTTCCCCGCGATTAAAAAAGAAAAAGAAAAAAAAATCGATGAAAAATGGTGAAATTTTTTATCGATTATTATACCATCGTCGAAGATCGATCGAAGCGAATAAATCGTTGAAATTATCGCTTACCTTGCCGCAATTGATGTACTCCACGGCGGTCTCCCGGAAGAAGAAGTAGACGAAGTCTCCCTGGGCCATGGAGTTGACAAAGTTTGGCGCTGGAATTAGAATACGTGCCTTGTATTATGACGCCGTTACATGTGGGTTACATGTGGGACATGGGTGGTGAGTGGCGGTCGTAAAGTTTCTCACTCTTCTTATGAATAAACGAACGTGACAATCGGCACGAGATGGAGGCCGAGCCTCGATTAAATATACAGTCAGGCCGCGCTTTATCTCGTGAGTAAAAAATATTGGCAAGCCAGGCTCGAAAAATCGAAGGGCGAAAGCGAAGGAGGGTCGGATAATCCGGCGTTGTTTCAGGGTGGCGGCATTGGATCCTCGTTAAAAAATCATTACCTCGAGATGGGGTAAGGTAGATCGCCAGATTTTCAACGATCGGAGGGTAAAAATCAATTTCCAAGCATCCAAGGATGGGATGCTTCTGGAACGATGGGACATCTTGGGCGATGTAACAATGGGGAGAGGGTAAGCCGACCACGAATACGTAAGGAACGTTTTATTTTATATCGGCTTCTTTCTCCTCTTGCCTCTTCTTCCGCTCTCAATTTTCATCTCTCTCTCTCTGTTCCTTCTTCATCGATATACCTTTCCTTTTCCCTTCTTCCACTCTCTCCTCAGGGATCAGTCGTATACACGAGCGTCCGATAAAGTGAGAAAACTTTATCGATTTATTAACTTGACAGGGTTTTCATAAGCTTCTTAGGATTCATAAAGTAATATTAATCTCGCGCGCCACGTAAGTATATATATTCGACCGATCCTGCCATGCTCTGGCCAATAAATTTTCTTTCATTCTCTCCGTGCCACCTTCTCTCCTCCTCTTCGCCGTCCCTTTTACACCGCTGATTCATCTTAACTCCCCCTCTCTTCCTCTCCTCGGCGTCAACCCTCGCCACCGTCCAACTGTCTTTCCCATCGCGTCGTACAATCGGGAGACAAAATGGGGAAGGGAGAGATATTCATCGCCTTCCCTCCTAGTTCTCCACGATTAGGAAAAAACGATCTAGATATTTCTGGAACGATTGATCGTTCGATCGAAAATCGGGGGTGGATTATAGACGCGATGGTGCTCGACGAAACGACCAAGTGATGGAAAGCTTTCGACGATCGTTCGGAAATAGTAACGATGTACAATTATTTCGGCGGTAAAAAATAAAAATTTAGAGCACAATGCTCCACATAAATATATATATATATATTTTTTTTTTCCCCCGTGCCAAACTTTTCGCTTTTACATTCGGCGACGAAAATTCCGAGCGATGAGCGAGAGCAGTGAACGCGACCGAAATGAACGAACAGAGAGAGAGAGGGGAGGGTGGAAAAAAAGAAAGAAAGAGAGTTGAATTTTCAACGAACCGAGAGAAAAATCAATATTATCCAGCGGACGGAGAAACTTGATTAGCGTTCGTACACCGTTCAATTAAAATGCTCGAGCGGACGAGTGAAACCGTGGAAATAAGGTGACGCATTTCCTCCACTTCCTCCTCCCCCACTTCTTTACTTCTCCCTTTCCCCAAAGTTTTCAAGGATCGAAGGTAAAAAAAATTTCCTCAAGCACGCGCGCCTCATCGCTATAATTCTCCTCTCCTCTTGATTGACCCGGTTCCGGATAAATAAATATTCCGAAAAATTCGGCAAATTCGCAAATTTCGTAACTTCTCTCCTCTAAGTCTAAGATGTAAAGGGAGGCGTTTGCAATTTACGAGTGTATCGGCTGATAATTAACCAGTTAATAACGGCTGAGATCGACCGAGGAAAGAGGAAGGAGAGGAAGGGAGTGGTCGTTGAATCGTCGGCGGACGACGACCAAGGGCCGGCAGACGGTCTTTCATCCAGGATTAAAATTTCTCATCTGTGTGCGTACATTTCGTTGCACCGTTCGTTCCGTTGTCGAGTAGACTTCGGGAAGAGACTTTTGTCATTATAGAGATAGAGGAAGTACCGTGGAATAATATCGTCGGAATAATAAGTCGTAAGGCGAAATCCGGTGCACGCGCTGTTAATCTCGGAATAAGACTTTGCGGATTGAAAACCATGGTCGCGCGGCATTTCTGAGCGAGTCATTTTACAGGTCTAAAACTTCGACTGTAAGACGAATCGAAGAGCAGGTTCTAATTTTTTCGAATCGAGATCGAATATCTCGAACCGATGACGCTTCTACCGATTATCGATCAATGAGTGTAGAAAAGTAACAAGATTTTATTGATTTTTTCGAAAGTGGTGTCTATAATATTTGTAGATTATTATTATTGGAAATTTTTTATATACGATTTACATAAGGATTGAAGTAATATTGTTTTGTTGGCAATGCATCTGTTCCTTGAATTTGAACTTTCGATCAGAAATGATCGATTAGAGAAATAATGGTATTCATATTTGATTTCTCTACGAATATTATTTACTTTTTTTTATATCCAAAATTAAAAATATCAATAATCAGAAATCTTACATTGCATCGATTTGTCAATTGACTTTTAAAAAGTTATTAATTCGAATCTTTTTTTTCGGGTTTTTGAATTTACATATTATCCCGTCCCGTTACTTTTTATATTATGCATACGATGCACCGTTTGCATAAGTAGCGCGTAACCAATGCAGGCTGAATTCTCTCTATGGTTCCCAGTTTTGGATTATCCGGTAAGCGTGCTCGAAACGATAAACGCTTGGCTATCGAGCTTCCGTTCGAGCGAGCAACACTTCCACTCTCTCTCCCCCCCGTTCAAGGCATAACTTTTTCGTCCCTTCCCCGTGGAAAAGCGCTTCCACAGCTTCAGCAACGTTTCAGTACACGTAGTAATAAATTCTTTCCCGGCCACCGACCTTTTTCCATCATCGAAAACGCTCCAGCTGCACACTCATCGCGCCCTTATTCCTCATAATCTTTATTCTTTAATCGCGCGTTAACGTCGTCCGCCATTTCCTGTTTCACGAAACACCTCCTATTATTATTTTTCCTTCCTATTTTTTCTTTTTCTTTTAATTTCTCAAACGTTTCATTCATTCCATTATTTTCGATTGCTTTCGAATCATCTTAATCCGATTAATCGATTATTAACCCTTTGCTCTCCTCCATCACTGGGATTGTTGCGGCAATTTGAACTCGATAATATTTATTTACATTTGATTTTTTTAGAATATCGCTTTATAAATATAAAAAGGTTCCTAAACTCTTTACGTATAATCTTATAAGGTGTAATCTTATGAGGCCGAACGCACTAAACGCGTTCTGAAGTTCTAAAGTTGCTGGTTCGGCCGAACGAAACAGGCTTGGAGTTTAAAGATAATTAAATCGGAAAAAATATAATTGCACTCACCGTTTAGGCTCTTGGAGTCGTACTGCTCGGTCTGGAGCGGCTCCCTGTAGATGATCGGGTCCATCCCCGCGAAATCGGCCACAGTGCCCGTGTAAAGCTCCCCGTCCACGTAAACGAAGGTGCTGTTGTGCCTCGGATCGTAGGGGCACATCGCCTGGCCACCCTTCTCCTTCAGTATCGTGTAATTGCCGGCGTGCACCCCGTAGTCACGGCACATCGGCTTGAACGCGTTAGTCGCGCACACAAGCAACGTGTTCGCGTCCGTCTTGACGAGGATGCGAATATAGTTCTGGCAATTCTCCTCCGGCGTGCCCTTCACCAGGCACATCTTCACGTCACTGTCGGTCGAGTACCAAGTCAACCTCTGCTGCTCGGTCAAATCGGTCAGGCTCAGATTGTGCACGAGATTTCTGTGAATGGAGAAAAGGGGGGGTTTTGTCAAAGGGGATGATTGAAAATATATTTTTCAAAATAGAAAGTTCATCGTTTTCACTCGCATTTATATATGAATTTTTTGCTCTCGAGTTATCGAGTTTGAAATAAGGCCGATTTTTCAATTTTGAAATTTGAAATTTCGATCGAATCGAGATGAGAGATCAGAGATTCGAAAAGATTGTATATTGCGTTTAATGAAATTGCCGAATTTACATATGACAAAGTGTAATACTTTTAATATCGTTGTTCGAACAATGGAAAAAAAAAAATAAATAAATAAAAATAAAAAATAAAGGGGGATTAACTTTTTTAATATTTTCAAAATGCTTGGACTACTACTATAAAATGGTATGTATGGAACACCATATGATTGTTTTACCATTTTCCAGATATTTCCGCCAGTTTTTTTATGAAACAAATGCTTCGATCAAAAATGTTGTTTGATCAGTTGGTACAATTGACAATAGGGAATGTTAAAAAAAACTTTTTATTCGATAAAAGATCAAGGTCAGTCCAATTATTTTTAATAGAATTATATTATATATTATTTTATGCATGGAATTGTATCGAATTATATATTATTTTATTACAGAAATTGTATATTATATTATGCACGGTTATAAATTTCGTTTCGAATACCCATATGTATGAAACACTGTGCGCTGGGCACGATTCTGGGTCACACAGTTGTTCAATATGGAAAAGGGCGGAATTTTATTGAATCGTGCCGTATTGTTATGGTATGCGAAGGCCGATTTTCAAATTTTTAAAAATTAAAAAAAAATTAAATATTCTATTTAAAAAAAGAAATTGATTTTTTTATGTGAATATAAAAATTCAAAGAATTAAAAATCAAATAACGATACGACATAACAATGACAATCCTGTCAGTTACACGTATACCAAATAAAAGAATGATTGAAAATTGACAGAATTATCGTTTCGACAGACTTTGATAAGCGTATTTGAAAAAAAGAAAAATACATTCAAATTTAACTCTTAACAATCGCTATAAATCTATTAATTTTCACAATTTCCTAATAAAAAATTTCACTCAAATACCCGTCATTTAAATAAATAAATTAATGGTACTTGACAGGTATACTCGTCACGTGAAAAAATAGAATTTTTTTTGATAAAAAAAATTGAAATTTTTGCAAAAATAAATATCTTTCAAGAAGAATAATAAAAAAAAAAATCAAATGAGTTATAAATTTTTGCATTTTAATAAAAATATTGCTATATTTCATGCAAATGAATTAACAATTATACAAAATTTGAAATCATTGTCAAAGCAAAAATCTTCTATCTAATTATTATTTAATTATTTCAATTCTATACCTGAATTATCACTGAATTATCGATCTTCGTGATATCATACAATATTGTTTCAACAATTAAACAGTACAAAATATACATATATCTATATACACATCAATAAAATTTCTTGTATCAACAAATCCTTATATAATAAATTTTTTAAATAACCTAACTCCAATATTTGCTATTTCCTTATTACTCTATTTCTTCTAAATACATTTCTCATTCCTGAATTTTACTTACTCAAACCACACAAACATTCAAAACAATATTCCCCTGTTAATCCTCGCTCCTCCTATCCTCGTTCACTGCAAATAACGTTCACCATCTACTAACTCGAATATGAGAATCGAAAAGTGAGCCCGTGAATTAAAAGAAAAAACTTATTTTTCCTAACGAAACTAATCACCCCCCCCCCTCTCGTCTTACTTTCGACCC